TTTTTTTTTACGGGGAAATCTTGTGGAACTCGGAAGGAAGACTGGGGAAATTTGAAGGGAAATCTACTGAAACTAGTTGAATTCGACCCTCTTGTCAATTAAAGAAAAATTCATTTTAAAGAATGGTGTGGAGTTCACTTGATGAATTATTACCATTTTTTTCGATCTGCGACATCGTATCAAATTGAAGACTAACTGAATTAAATATCGTTTGATTGTTTTCAAATACCTGTACTAGGCTTAAACGCGCAAATTCTCATTGCAAGGAACTTCGGGTTATTCTAGAAAATGCCCGCATAAAAAGATGTGCTTTTAACAAGATTATTATTAAGAATTGGGACATTTTTCAGGAATTGAAACACTGTCAAACCCAATAACAGTTTACTAGCAGGATACAGTAATGAAAATCGAAATTTTTGTCACGCCGGAAACAACTGCATTTCGCAATTGAAAAAATTTTCTTACAGATTTATTTTTCATAGTACAGTACTGAAGTAAGATTTACTTTTTGACGCTGCGGCAAAAAGTAAATTTTGATTCAGAATTTTTTCCCAGAAAGACTGGAAAAATGTTGTGGCAAAATCTTAAATATTAAAAAATGTTTGGGGAAACTGTCAAAAGGCACGAAATTCTACTCGTAATTACATTTATGGCATTGAGTCTATGGATTTTCTGGTGGAATCTCTGAAAGGTTTCCTTGGAAGAAAAAAATTTCACGTAACAGACCTTTTCTTTCATTTGGTGTTATCAGTACTGAAATTCGAGAAGCAAAAATCACGAGGGAGAAAAAGTTGCAACATGCGCATTTTTGTTGTTGTAAGTTTGAAACGGGCAGAAACCGGACACATCATTGCAAATATTCACTGTACTGGGGTTTCCCTAAAAATAATTTTTTTTTGTCGAGGAAGAATTACCTTACCTCGAAACTACCTGAAGTCAAGTGAATACAGTAGTAGGAGTTACTATCCGTAAATATCAAGTCAAGAGGGTAAAAGGGACACGAAATGGGGGGTTGAATGGGAATAAGGGTAAATCTGGTCGTGGGATTATACTTTTACTGAAATATTGTTGGCAAGACTGACGGTTGACTGCAACCTCAGAACGGCGCCAGAGAGGATTTCAAAGGCTTAAGCCCTTCTTGCGTCGTTTTCAACCTGCGTCGTTTACCGGGTACCCTCCTGACGGGTTCTCGGGCCGCCTGTCGAGCCTTTTGTTACCAGGGGGGGGGGGTTCTTTGCTTGCTCGCTTTTCGCGTTGGATATTTCCTCGCTGCGATATTCTCCGTTCATTCCTTTCTTCCTTCCTTTTCGGCTTTGATCGTATGGAAGAAGCCTCTCTGCTTCCGGTGACGGCGTCGAAATTTGTTCAATATCCGACTCGGGGGGTTTCACTGGGCTTGGCATGAACAGGTCTTTTTTTTTTTGATGGTACGAAGAGGAATTTTGTTTTGTAAGGGCTGAAGGAGGGTTGTGTTGGTTTAATATCGTTGAAGTCCCCCACGAGAGTCTTTTTTTCATATTCTATTATTTTTTAAAGGTTTCGCTTTTATTTTGTTTCATCTCGAAGTTCAGCTTCTCCCCGGTAGAAAATAAAATTTAGGGATTACACATTTGTGTGGTTATTTTTTTATTCCTCATCAGCAGGAGAATCAATTAAATGTTTTCGCGCTGAAGTCTGAAGGGAAAACGTGATCCGACATTGGGACGAGGGTCCAAGCACCAAATCACGTCCTCATCTCGGGGCTCCACTGCCGTGTTCCCCAACCTTTTTGGGTCCGCGGACCGGCAAATTTCCAAAAATTATTTTGCGGACCGGCAAATTTCCAAAAATTATTTTGCGGACCGGCAAATTATAAACTATTTTGCGGACCGGCAAATTTTCAAAAATTATTTTGCGGACCGGCAAATTTCCAAAAATTATTTTGCGGACCAGCAAATTTGAAAAAAAATTTCTGCGGACGAGAAAAGTTTCATAAAATGTTAGCAAAATTAAAAAAAAAATTTAAAACTTTATGGCAGGTATTTGAAAAGTGTATGCTTTTTCTTCTCTAGAACTAAGTTGATAACCA